ATCCAGAAGAAGCAGTTCAAGAAGCTGTGGAACAGTTCGAGGCTCAGGTATGACCAAATATGATGATGTAGGTCGCGTGACTGTGTATTGCCAAGTGTTGATAATTCTATTGTACCCGCGTTAAGAAATTTACACTTCATTGGAAAAGCGGTACCGTTAGTTTATTGTATATGAAGTACATTAATAAATATAGATATTAGGGCGGAAAGTAGACTGACTGAAAGGTAAATGTATATAATATAATGTCTATTATTCACAGTCTTACGTGCAACTCCACGTCCCACAAAATTTGTACATGTTTCGGCCAATAGGGCTATCATCAAGTGTTAAAATCTTTTTGATGAGTAAGTTGCTGTCTTCTGTCCCATAGATGAGCTTGTGTATTGTGTCAGACTGTGAATAAGACTCAACTCACTCACGGTGCTGAGCCCTTCATGAGAAGCTGCCAATTGTGCAACTGCTCAAGAAATTCCCAGCATTTTATGGAATCCGAAGATTCATTACCATGTTCACAAGGGCCCTCCACTGGTTCCTATCCTGAGCCAGAGCAATCAATCCATACCAACCCATCTCACCTAGATCCGTTTTAATATTGTTCACCCACTCGTGTCTTGGTCTTCCCAGTGGTCTTTTTCCTTCTGGCTCCCTCACTAATATCCTATATGCATTCCTCTTCCCCCCCACCGCCCATCTCATCCTCCTTGACTTGATCATTCTAATTATACTTGGAGAAGAGTACAAATTATGAAGCTCCTCATTATGCAGTTTCCTCCAACCTCTCGGCCCATCGTCTCTCTTTGGTCCAAATATTCTCCTGTGAATGCTAAATGAAAAGTAAAACAGGATGCTAAAATATAATAGTATATCATATAAGTTGATAGGGAACATTGAATGCATGAAGAGATTTGGTGGGGAACTAACTAACTAACTAGTCACTCAGCTACTTAAAAATTTCCATCATTTTATAGAACCTGAAGGTTCATTACCCTTGTTCACAAGAGCCTGCCACTGGCACATATCCTGAGCCAGATGAATCCAGTCCAATCCACCCAGTTCTGTTTCCCTACGATTCATTGTAATATTATCCTGCTACCTACATCAGGGTCTTCATAGTGGTCTCTTTCCTCTGACTTGTGTAGAATAGTGATAGTGCTATAATTACTTGTAGTTATCAGATATAAATGTTCAATAAATCCAGTTACCAAACCAGAACTCATATCTAGTCACTAACATGTGACAGTATGTATTTATTCCTAAAATGTTGCTTGACAGAAATTACTTCATGTTTCCTTTAATATTTTGTTTAATATATCATGTTACTATAATTGTTTTAAGTGAAGACTATACTCTGCATGCAGTAAAGTATTTCATGTTGTGTATTGTTAGTTTTAAAGAGCATGAGGATGCTTACAGGACATGTTCTTCTGACAGAGGTAACGAGGGGTTTTTAAAAGTCAGGGCTTTTGTTGACCAGCTTGGCTGCTGCATGAAATTGAATTTGAAAAATGGTAAAAATGTTTGAGTTTTGTGTTAAATTGACTGACTGGTACCAAAATAAAATTTTCCATACAACTTTTAGTACAGGCTCCCAGCATGAAGTATCATTACAATATGTGCAATTTGAGGTTCTCAGAGCAGTGTCTGTGAATAGTGCCACTGCTGTTTTCATTACTTTTAGAGGGCAGACAGTCTTGACATGCCCAGCATGATTTATGTGAAGTTCCATCTACGAAGAAGACATTATAATGTCTTTATGTAACACATTTTTACTAAGAAATTAATTACCTTCTTGAGCAGCCAACAGTTGTGCGCATACTCAGGAAATTCGCAACGTTTTACGAACCCAAAGGTTCATTACCATGTTCACAGGAGCCCTCCACTGGTTCCTATCCTGAGCCAGATCAGTGCAGTGCATACCACTCCATTCTCTCTCTCTAAGATTCATCTTAATATTGTTCACCCACCTACAACTTGGTCTTCCTAGTGGTCTATTTCTTTCTGGCTTTCCCACCAAAATGCTATATGCATTCTTCTCCTCATTCGTTCTAGATGCCCTACCAATTTCTCCATCCTTGACTTTGTCATTCTAATTATACATGGTGAAAAGTACAAGTTATGAAGTTTTTTTTTCTCCAACCTCTTGTCACTTCCTCCCTCTTCGGTCCAAATATTCTCCTCAATACCATGTTCTCAAACACACGGTCTATGTTCCTCAATGTCAGAGGTCAAGTTCCACACCCATTGAAAACGACAATCAAAATTTTAGTTTAATATATATATATTTTTTTTTTTTTTAAGCCAGCAGATTAGAAAACAAAAGGTCTGGACTAAATGGTAGGAAGTATTACCCAAATTCAGTCTCCTCCCAATTTCCCCCTGAATCAAATTTTGTCTTTTTATGTTCATTCCCAATATCTGAACTGTGCCACTTTTTCAGAGGATTTACTTGCTATATTTATATTGTGATATTGCCCTGCATTCAGTAGACAGGACATCAACATATACTGTTTTCTCTGCATTTAATTCCAGACCAACATTATTACTAGGATCAGCTGAAGTTTCTATGTTCTTCTTTATAGTATCTATATTATCTCCCACCCCCTCGTTGGTGGCTCCACCTTATCGTGGTGAGGGGGTTTGAGTATGCCAAGGACCCTGAGAGCTATACCAGCGGTAGCGTAGCTACTGGCATGGCCTCCCTTGCTGGACAGGTCAAAGGGTAGGCATCAGACGAAGAGAGACACCAAAAACTGATGCCGGAAGCAGCGTCATCAGCAGCGACTTGAAGCACAGAGTAAATAATGCTCGAGATGGTTCAAGTTCGTATAGCAACAGGCGTGACCAGAGTGGTTTGAACGCCTATTGTACTGCGATGTGGAAAGCAAATGGAAAAACTACCACATTATCACTTTTCCTGGATAGTCTCTTTCCAAAACCAGAGATACCATGTATGCGAGATATTTCATTTGAAGGAGAAAGCTCTAGATCGCATCAAGTGGAGGAACTGTTTTG